TGGCTTCTTAAATGACAAGGTAGGTGTGGGACCGGGGCTTCCCGTCTTAGTGGAGCTCTTTTGTTTCGCTGCCTGTTAATGAATGCCTATCGAACACTATGTGCCAGGCGCGGTCAGTGTCCAGGGCACAGAGGTGAGCCACAAGCTATATTCTCCTAGGGACACCGTGATGATGGCTGTGTTGGGCACACGGCACCACAGCAGAGTTCAGGGACACTTCCTCTGGGTGCTCACCACGTGCCAGGCCTATTGACCCGTTTAGTCCTTACAGCAGCCTTTTGAGGTGGTGCCTCTTATGCCTCGATTTACAGATGGGGAAACCGAGGCAAGGAGGTTCATCTACCTATGGTACATAGTGTAGGAAGTGGTGGGGCTGATTACAGTCCTCCTCAATCATACCTGTAAGGCATGATTGAAGTGGGAGATGTCAGTATTCAGGAGGTGGGTTTACAATTCAGAGAAGGAAAACACAAGAACAGACCAGAGGCCAACGGGTGAAAACACCATAGTCATAAAGGGACACAGCATGGGGTCAAGTTAGAAGGCTACCAGTCCCTCGCCCTGCCCCAGCCAGCAGGTGCTGAAGACCTCCAGAATGCTTGAGCCTTGTGAAAATTCAGTCCAGATGGATTAGAAGTGACATCTGGTTTTTAAATTTTAATTCTCGTCCTTCCCTTTTGCCATTGACCCAAGGGTTAATGGTGGCACCCTGTGCCTGTTGCCATCCAAAGGGCGGGTCCCTGTAACCTGGAGCTGCTCTTGGGGAGCTGCAGCTCGAATGTTCTCCTCCCCCTGCCCCGGGTGCCTGAGAGGCAGAGGCAGAAGTCAGGGCGTTCTGGGGACTCTATCCCCCTTCCCTGGGCAGGTGGAAGAGCGGCGGGAGCGCTACATGGACTCCTACGACATTGTGCTGGAGAAGGACGAGACGCTGGACGTGGTCAACGGGGTGCTGCAACACATCCTGCCCCGCGGGGACTGGAGAGAGACGCAGGGCTCCTGAGCGTGGGCGGGGGGCCAGGCGCTGCGGGCTGCGGGGAAGGGGGAGCCTCGCCAGGAGGCCACCCTGTGGGGAGCGTTGCTGCTCCCTGTGTGTGCGCGGAGTCCCAGGGGGTGCACCTGCCGAGCCCAGCCTCTCCCTGCTCCTCTCCCAGCGTCTTCTGTGGTGTTCTCCGGAGGCTGGCGGGAGGCCCTTGCCGGATGGGAGGGCCAGCCAGGTGAACACAGGACCTACAGAGTGTTAGCACTCTAGGGACCAACTAGTCCAGGGGTTCTTCCCCCACCCCCAGTTTTTAAACACGGGAAGCTAGTCTTCAAACAAATCTAATGTGTTAAACAGATCAAAATAAAAAAAGGAAAAAACAGCTATTCTGATTTGGGGGATGCAGGGCTGGCTGGCTCAGTCAGTGGGGTGTTTGATTCTTGATCTCTGGCTTATGAGTTCGAGCCCCACATTGGGTGTAGAGATTACTTAGAAAATAAAATCTTAAAACAAAACACCGAATTCACTCACAGGACCCTCTGAGCACGTCCTAAATGTGTCTGGGGACCGAGATGGGCAGGCGGGATTGGAAGGTGCGTTTCTGACCTGGAATGGTTTCACTTGATGCTGAGGTAGCCGTTAAACTTGAACTTCCGTTGGGGTCAGTTGGGTCTGGCCAGCCCTGTGTGCAGAGTTCCCTATTTATGGATCCCCAAAGGGATCCATTTGGTTGCAGATTTTCTCTTGTGCCCTTGGCTCCTGCCATGTCTTCTCTTCCTTATGTGGGCCCAGGGCCACGAAAATGGGTGACTTCAGGGGAGTCAAGACCAGGACCTGAAGGGAGAAGGCACTCAGTGACACAGTAAAGTGGAAGTGATTTCTGCTCTGTCGTCTTGTGTCACTGGGCTTCCTTCAGTTTCTTTCCTTCTCCCTCCCCTGTCGACTTGGATGGTCAAGAACTAGCTGAATTCTCTCTAGGGCACCTTGTGAAGAAAAAATGGAAACCCACCAGTTTCACCTGGCATTTTGTAGCCTGTCCTCAGAGAAACGCTCCCCTCATCCTCCCGCAGAGGGTGCCCGGCTGTGGCACATGCGTTTCCCTGCGGCTCTGAAGGGGACGGCAGTGCCTTCTTCACTAGGGCCCTGAAGGTCGGTGTAGTTCCCATCTATAGGTGGCTCGGAAAAGACCAGAAACTTGCTCCCACTCCATAGCTAGGAGCTAGCGCCAGATTTCAGTGTTTCTGACGGATGCCATCGCCTTTCTTCTGCTTCGCGCCTCCACCCCTGCTCGTGGGCTTTGGTCCTGAGCTGGCTGTTCGCTTCTGGGGGGCGGGTGGTGACCATCTGAGGCCGGTCCACAGACACTGCCAGACCCTGAGGTGCCTTCGGGATGCTTTGGGGCCAGGAGTGTCCGTGATTGGCCGTGGGGAAAAGCCGTGTCTCGGGATCCTGGGCAAGAAGCAGGTGCTCGTGGAGGATGGATCAGTTCGGGGAGTCCAGGACCATCAGTCTCTCTCCCAAGACTCCCCCGCTCTCCTGTCCTCTCCTGGCTTAGGTCATCTTTGTTGTCCTGGCCAGAGTCCGGCCGGGCGGGTGCTGGCTGAAGCAACTCCTCCCTCAAGACCCCGGAGATTGGAGCCCTGTTACCTTTCCTTCGGACAGGAGGGAGGACCCGGCAGGAGGTAATGGCTGGCAGCCAGGAGCAGGGAGAGGTGGGGATGGCCTAGCATTGGAACAAGTCTACATGGAAGAGAGGAATCCGACCTGTGCAGCTTAATTTAATCCTTGAGTTTCTGATGTCATGTTTGAGGTCAGGGACCTCATCTTTCCATTCAGTTGGGATAGTTAGGAGACAGGGATCATCTCTCCACACCTCCCTGCAGGCCCCTCTGTAGACGCCCACTCCCCACCCTCCCTCCAGCAGATAGGGGCTCCCTTTCCATGGGGAGGGCCCTGATTAGGCCTCAGGGGGCAGAGGCAGAGACCTAGGGAGGGACACAGTATCTTGAGCGCCTGCTTTGTTTCCCTTTCTTCCCCAGTCCTTGGGTCTAAGGGCCTCCCCCTGCCCCCGAAGAGCACATCCTGAGGCCTTTGGTTTAATCTTTTATTTGGTACAAAGGAGAAAGGGATCTGACACCAATTTAGCCTTTTGAGTGTGTGGAGCTCTGCCCCCCTCCCCGCCCTCCGCGAGCCCTTCTTCCAAGTTTATCTCAGCCCAGAACCAAGAATTTCGTAGCCCCAAGACCCACCCAAGTAGTTATCCTCACCCCTGCCCCCTTCACATTCTTCCTCTTCTCTGTCCCTTAGAGAAAAGCCTTCTTTAGGGATGAAAGGCAACGCCAAGCCCAGCCCTGAATGCGGCACCCCAGGGTCACTTTAGCCACTACTGGCTGGAGTGAGGGGTGGACAGCATAGGTGTGGGGACACAGGGGAGGGGGGCGGGACAGAAGCCAGCCAGAGCGGAGAGGAAGGCTGAGCGTCCAGTCAGTTTTGGTTCATGCTCCTGGGGAGCTGCCATGACACAGGAATAGGGACTGGAGCGGGGGGTGGCTGGGGACGACAAGGAAAAGCATGGACAAAAGGGAAGTTTGGGGAAATAAAGGACAAGCTCGGCCTTGTTCAGTGTCTGGTGACGTGGAGGGGAGGTATGGGTGAAGCACCAGCAAGGGCCCCGTTCATCCCCGAGGCTCGGCCAATGGCCGGCTTGGCTTTGTGACTCCAAAACTTGGAAAGGAGGGGTTTGGGGTCAGAAGAGAAAAACTGAATAGAGGTCTGTGCTGTGGATTTTACTTAAGGGCTGGTGGGATGACCAGAGTTGTCTCCTCTGACCAAGTTCTAGATGTTTCTCGACATCCTGCCAGCACAGGGGAGGGTGACTCTTGGAAGGTCAGCCCCACTGCCCACTGTCCTCCCAGAAGTGGGCCTTTGCATTCAGGCCCGGGCCCCTGGCCTTCAGAGCTCCTCGTGGACCCGCTCTTGGTCTTCGTCTGACTTCAGCTTGAGCTCCTCCACAGTGATCTTGCCATCCTGGTTGCGGTCCTGGTTCTGGAACATGTCTGCTATGGTTTTCTCCGGGTCCTGCCCAGGCATGAGGCGTCCTTTGCCTTCACTGACTTGAGCCTTGATGAAGGTGGAGAACTAGGAGCCAAGAGAGCCAAGGGGAGAGGGGAGTGAGGGTCTCACCTGAGCAGCTGTGGGTGGCCTGGGGAAGGGCCCCAGGCGGTGGCCAGCCAGCGGTAGGGGGGAGTGGGCTGCATCAGGAAGAGGCAGGGACAAGGGACCTAAGGCACAGGGACCCAGCACAGGGGCAGAAAGAGGTGCAGACGGAATGGCAGAAGGACTGCATTGCTCGATGCCACCAAGCATGGTGGCTCCTATTGGGGGTGACAGTGGGGGACCGGTTCTTAGAAGGACCCAACTCCTCACCCACCTCCTCCAGGGGGACCTCGCCATCCTTGTTGAGGTCCAGGCCTTCAAACAGGTTGGCAGGAGGGTCCTCGTGCCACACAAACAGGTAGCCTGTGGGCAGCCCCTCTTCCCGGGACACCAGCTCCACCGCAAACAGGAGCACCGCACTACCAGGGACACCCCGGGCTGCAGGCGGGGAGGGAGAAGAGAAGGAAGGCCTCGCCATCGGGCCCAGGTCTGGCCCGACTCGCAGCCTGCCGTGGGTGCTCCCCAGCCCAGAGGCCTCCGTTTCCCATGTTGGGCACATGGGATGTTTGCAGAACCCTTGGGAAGGCTTCCCGCACCCCTCTCGCCAGCCACCAAGGCCAGTCGGCCCCTCACCTCCGCTCTCTCCATGGGCCAGGTGCGGGGGCACCACGAGCTGCCGCCTCTCTCCCACGCACATGCCCTGCAGGCCCTTGTCCAGGCCTTCGATCACCTTGTTGGCCCCCAGAGTAGCCTCCTGGGGGTTGCCATAGTCGTGGCTGGGGGCGGGGTGGGGGGAGAGCAGATTCCCAGGTCAGCGCCCATCCTTGTCCCAGGCCAGCTGGCATCCCATCGTCCCCCCCCCCCCGGGCCGCCCCCTCAGGCCCAGTTTCCCAGTCACTCCTCCTGGGGCCCGCCCCACACAGCCGAGGGCCGGGCCCAACAGTTCAGAGACAGCACGCCCTCCTCATGGTGCCACTGCCCCTGCTTTGGTGTTCCCTCCACAAGCGGAGCCCGCAGTTCCCCAAGACGCTGGCTTCACCTTCCCTGTGCCTGCAAGTCAAGAACCTCAGCTCCTCGTGCTCCCCCACGCTCGCTGGATGGGAACTTATGGACGAAGCACCCGTCGGGGGGCTCTCAGGAGGACTCCCCGCACCTGGGCCCACCCACCTGCCCAGCCCCGGCCCAGCCCCGGACCCACGAGGAGAAGAGCTTGGTGCCATCCAGCAGGGAGCAGTTGTAATGGTAGCGAACGAAGTCCCCGGGTTTGGCCGTCTCATTGCAGGTCTCCTGGGGCGGGGACAGAATCTTGATTTCCACCGGATCCCCAGGGTTGTGGAAGTCAATGACGTGGACGTCGAAGATCAGCACAGCGGAGCCAGGGATCTTGTCTCCTGGGGCCAGAACGGGGAGTGGATCGGCTTGGAATCCAGGAGGGGCTACTCAGGCCTCCACAGAGGCTCCTAGACTCCCACGCCCTATGTTTTCAAACCAGGATGGGACAGGGTATTTGTCCCCAGGGTCAGTTCTTCTAATACCCTCTTGCAGGGGGGGGGGCGGTGAGGGGCAGGGGAGGGAAGGGCCAGGCCAGTTAGAAAGCCCTTTATACACATCATCTTGCAACCTCCCAGCAACTTACCCTGCTGGTCAATGGGATTAGTCCCATTTTACAGGTGAGGACACTGAGGCTTCCAGCAAAGCTGGGGCTCAAGTCCAGGTCTCTTTGCTTCCTAGGGCTACGCTGTTTCTGTTCTTCCATGACCACCCCCCTTCCCCAAACTCAGGAGTCGGTTGCCCTTCTCCAGTATGGAAGGGAGAAGTTGGGGGGGGCTGCCCCTGGAGGCAAGGACAGAGTCTGTGTGGCAGGAGGTGGGTGGGTGATGGTTTTTGTGATGAGAGGGGCAGAGCAGGTGCTGGGATGGCCCTGTGGTGGGGAGGTCAGTGAACAGTGTGCAGAGGAGCTGAGGAGGTGAGTGGGAGCAAGGGGACACGCCTACCAGTCCCGTTCTCCCCGTAGGCCAGGTGCGGGGGGATGGTGATCCTCCGGCGCTCCCCCATGCAGGCGCCCTGCAGCCCCTGGTCCATCCCGGGGATGATGTAACCCTGCCCCACATAGGTGTTGTAGGTGTGGTTGCGGGAGTAGCTGTAAGACAAGGCAGGGAGGGCCAGCAAGGGGTCAAAGGGGTCCCTGGCCCTTCCCGGCAGCTCAGAGCCAACTGCCCCCGGTTGCTGCCGGGGGGCCACCCCAGATCCTGCCTCAGCCTCTTCCACCTTCCTCCCAGCCCCCACCTTCCCTCCTCAGGAGTCCCCCGGACCTGGAATCAAAGAGGGTGCCGTCCATCAGCGAGCCGTTGTAGTGGTAACGCATGAAGTCTCCAGCCACAGCTCTCCGGACGCAGCCAGGAGGTAGCTCCAGCGTCTCCAGCTGGACGGTGTCCTTGGGGTTGTGGACGTCAATCAGCAGCACGTGGAAGACCAGGGAGGCCTGCGGGGGGATCACAGTCCCTGGGGAAGGGATAGGCTTGAACCATACAAGTGGAGAGCAAAGCAGGGCTCCTCCTCCACTCAGGAAGGCCCATGTGAGCACCCTGCAAAAAGGTGCTAATTCTGCTCTCCAGAGACCCTTCCCTACCCTCAGCAGCCCTGTTTCTTGCTCCCCCTGTGAGGTGTGAGCTGGATCTTCCCCAAGGCCATCACCAGCCCATACTGAATGCGTGTGTGAATCAGAATAAAGCACCCTTTCTTGGTGAGATCATCACCAAGATAGAGTTCATCTCTGATTTGCCTCCTTGGCTGAGTGCCCTTGTGCAGTACACAACCTGAACAACTGTATGTGGCAGCCCTCTTCTGGGGAATCTCCGAGTCCCTGTCTGCCCTCACCATAGCCTTTCTCGCCATAGGCCAGGAATGGCGGGATGATGATCTTCCTCCTCTCTCCAGGACACATGCCCAGCAGCCCCTGATCCATGCCCTTGATCAGCCAGCCCGAGCCGACGTAGGTGTCATAAGTGCCACCCCTACTGTAGCTGCAGAGAATGAGGCAGAGGTGATGTTGCGGAGATGAGAGAGGCAGGAAGGGCCCCGGACACCCTCCCCATCATACCACGGTCCCCAGGGCCCCAGGACTCCCTCCAGCCCTTACCTGGTGTCAAAGGCGGTGCCATCCAGCAGTGTGCCGTTGTAGTGGTAGCGGACAAAGTCACTGTCCTGGACCGTGCGGGGGCAGTGGGCTGGGTGCAGCAAGGTGCTCACCTGCACGGTGTCTGCCTTGTTCCACACATCCAGCAGGACCACATCGAAGTAGAGGGTGGCATCCGGGGGAATGAGCCCCGCTGTGAGAGTCCGGCAGCCCCATCTCATGTCTGGTGCAGCCTCCAGGACCCCTCAGCGCGCCACAGTCCCCGGGGCCCCGGGACTCCCTCTAGCCTTACCTGGTATCAAAGCTGGTGCCGTGTTTGCTACAGTCCCAGCGTGGCGGGTTGAATGGACATTTGAACGTCCCGCTCGGCCACCCGCTCCACCGCCCCTAGGTCCTCTTCTCCCCAGTCAAGCTTTGATTCTACCCAGGGCCCTGTCATTTCCTTTCCTCCCACCCCAGGGGCAGGAGACTGAAACTCTAGTCCCAGACCTGCCCCGACTCACGCTGCATGTGCAGTGTGACCTTGGGCAAGTCACTCTCCCACTCTGAGCTTCAGGTTTTTGGACCTGGGGCCCTTGATTCTGCTTCCTGGTCTCCTCCATCCCCACGCCTGGGCCCCACCCCTTCTCACCCACACCGATGCTGCCATAGCCCAGGTGGGGGGGCACGATGAGGCGTCGCCGCTCGTTGACACACATGCCCATGAGGCCCCGGTCCATGCCAGTGATGAGGCGCCCCACGCCCACCACGATGGCCACTAAGGTGCTTCGGTCATAGCTGCGGGAGGGAGGAAACAGATGGGCCACGGCGGCCTCTGGGGGCCACATACACACACAGGGGCACGCACACACTCAGTCCCCCTCCCGCTACACAGGTGTGCATCTACATGCTCCTGTCTCCTCTTCAAGCCTCCCTCCCCACTCAAGAGGAGGGGCTGTTACACAGGGAAGCCCCCGAGGGAGGCCAGGGGCTTTTATTTGCCTGGGACCGGGGTGGGGGAGTGCAGGGGGGCGGGGGTCTGCCCAGGGCTGTGTGCTACTAAGATCTGCGAGCAGCTGCGGAGGGCGAAGTATGGCACCAAGGGGCCGAGGACCACTGAGCTTGTACGATCGGCCAGATGAAATCCTCGGCCTTGTACATGCGCCACCTTATTGCGTTCTGTGAAGTGGGCGTTAGCGTTTTCATTTTGCTCATGACAACGATTGGGACAAGAGACTAGCTGACTTGCCCAAGGTCACACGGCTAACACGTGGTCAACTGACCTCTGTGTTTGGGCCACCACACCATCAATTTCCCAGGAAAGGAGGGGGCAGCAGGGCTCCCTGAGAATAGGGATTGGTTTCCAATTTTGGAAAGCCCTGTTTTAAAATTGCCGTGGCCTTTATTTGTTTTTTTACTTTTATTTTTTTTAATTGAAGTATAATTGACGTACAAGATGATATTAGTTTCAGGTGTACAACCTCGTGATTCGACATTCACATACATTACGAGAAGATCGGAATAATAAATCTAGTCAGCATCTGTCACCACACAAAGTTAATTCAATACTGTCATCTGTGCTCCCCATGCTTTCCCGTGATTGATTTATTTTATAATTGGAAGTTTGTACCTCTTGACTTTTATTTGCTTTTACTTACAGTTTTCAGTTTTCAGAAGTTAAGGGAGGATGGGAGATTTTTATTTTATTTTTTTACTTATTTATTTTTAAGATTCCACTTATTTATTTGACAGAGAGAGAGAGAGCACAAGCAAGCTGAGTGGCAGGCAGAGGGAGAAGAAGCAGGATCCTCACTGAGCTCGATCCCAGGACCCTGGGATCATGACCTGAGCTGAAGGCAGGCACTTAACCGACTGCACCACCCAGGCGACCCTGGAGATTTTTATTTTAAAAAAATTTTTAAATCACTTCATTTTTTTTTAAGTTTATTTATTTTTTTTTGAGTAATCTCCACCTCCAATGTGGGGTTCGAACTCATGACCCCAAGATCAAGAGTTGTATGCTCTTCCAACTGAGCCAGCCAGGTGCCCCGAGATTTTTATTTTGATCAAAGGGGTTAAGAACCACGGGTTAGGAAAGTTTTCCAAGCTCAGCACTGCATGAACTGGGGCCAGCTAGGCTCCCAGAGTCCCACCAAGGAAGTCATCCCCTGCTCCCCACCCCTCCCTGACTTGGGCTGTACTCCTGGCCACAGGCCATACCTCATTCTGCCCACTGAGCTGCTTCCTTTACAGTGCTGTTGTGAGGGCCCAAGCCTGCACAAAATTTCTACCAGTTAAAAACAGAGCACCCAGGGGCAGCTGGGTGGCTCAGTCGTTAAGCATCTGCCTTCAGCTCAGGTCATGATCCTGGGGTCCTGGGATCGAGCCCCTCATCGGGCTCCCTGCTTGGCGGGAAGCCTTCTTCTCCCTCTCCCTCTCCCCCTGCTTGTGTTCCCTCTCTTGCTGTCTCTCTCTCTCTCTCTGTCAAACAAATAAATAAAATCTTAAAAAAAAAAAACAAAAAAAACACAGAGCACCCAGTCCTCCCCACAGTCAAGGCTAATAGGCCCTCAACTGGCTTTCGGATTGGCAGGCACTGCGCGAAGTTCGCTTTCATTCATCATCTTACTTGAGCCCTGTTATCAGCCTTAGGAAGGGAGGACTTAATTTTCCAGATTGTTTTTAACCTCCATTTTTCAGATTAGGAACATGAAGCTTAAAGTGGCAAAATTCCTTGTCCATGGTGACAGGCTGGATTGGAACCCAGTGTCTTGGACTCTGGAGTTCATGTTCTTACCCAACATACTGCCTGCCTTCCAAAGCCAAGGCCACTAATTTCCCGTGGGCTGAGTTGTGTGTTTTGGGAAGGGGTCTAAGAGGGACTGACTTCTTGGGATATGGTATGTGACTGGGACCTGAGGTTGAACCAGGGTTGCTATGCAGCCCTGCCCTGCCTCCACCAACAAAAGTGACTTGCCAGAGCAGACCAAAGGCCTGATCAGACCAGAAACCCATCTCTCAAACCCCAAGGCTGGCAAGATGGGCGACAGCCCTGGCCTGGTAGAGCTAAGATGGAGGAAGGTGGGGGTGCAGGGAGACCCGGAGAGAGAGGTAAGAGAACCCTCCGAGGAGCCCAGGGGGTCAATGCCCGGCCATATGACACGTAGACAGATAGGATCCCTACACAGAGCTATGCCCTACACTCCTGGATCCATCCTGCTGTCTTACTACAATGCTCCCTCGGCTTTACTATGCTAGCTTCTCCTAATCCCCACTGCCTCCAAAAAGGTTCTACTGCCTGTTCTCTGGTTACAAAGGCACTAGACCTTGGGGCTGGAACCAGAAGGGATTCAGGCTGGGTAGAAAGGGTGGGGGTCCCAGACTGAGACCCCTGGAGGATTCACATGCAGCAGGGGCCATGCCCTTCCCCCCAACACTGGGGACCAGAACCTCCTCCCTGCCAGGACTTTAAGTAAAGCACCCGTAAGTAACCAGAGCAGTTCACCTTGATCATCAAACACTTTGGGGAAAATGGGGAGCTTGCTGTAAAAGAAACTGGGGTCCTTTGAGAGGTGAGGGTTTGAAATCCCGGGCAAGGATGTCTTTGGGAAGATGGATGTCTGGGAGTCCCCATCCCCAAGGTGCTGTGTTAGGGGTTAGAAGACCATGGAGTAGGGGATACAGACACAGCCTAAGGGGCTACAAGGGATCCCCAGGATTAAGAGAGCCTGGCCCCAAGGGGAGTGGCGAGTCTGGGGGCACCCAACCCATTACCTCGAGTCAAACTTCTTGCCATCCTCGAAAGTGCCGTTGTAGTGGTAGCGCACAAAATCCCCCATCTGCACTTCCCGGGGACAGATCCTGGGGATGTGGTACCTCTCGATGACTACATCTTCCAGGGGGCCCCCGGCCGGACTGGCACGGCCCAGCCCCCTCCCCACGGCCTGCACCAGCAGCAGCAGCAACTGCAGCAGGGGGAGCCCGAGGAAGGTGTGGCTCGGGGACACCGCGCGGAACATGGTGCCTGGAGCTGGGACCGCCGGCAGTGAGGACGAGCGAGGGAGTCGCCGCCGCCAACCTTCTTCCCCCCTCCTCCCGGAGCAGGCTCCCCCCCTTCCTGTCCTCCGTCCCCACCCCCGCCCTGGCGGGTCCACGTGGAATGGGGGCAGGGGAGACTGAGCTGGCGCGGGGCGGGGGGCGGGAGACGGAGGGTGGGATAGGAGGAGGGGGCGAGGCTGAGCGTTGGAGTCACAGGAATGCACCACAAAGAACTGCAGCTTCCCCCCTCCCGCTCCCCCGGGGCTCGGCGTCCAGGGGCCCGGCCAGGGAGGGAGGTTCGGGAAAGCCGAGAAGTCGGAGCTGACTCCCATTTAAAAAAAAGTTCGGAGTCTTTTTTCCGGAGCCCCCGGGTCCTAAAGCCGGGCTGAAGCATCCCTTGCTTCTTTCGCTGGCACCCCCCAAATCTAGGCCTCTCCAGGTGGCTGGTGGGGCTCCAGAATCTTGGTATTCCCCCAGCCCCACACCCCCCACTGTCCCAGGGATGGCCTCTCCAGGGACGAGCTGCGGCGGCTCGAAAAAGCCGGACCGCCAAGCCTCCCCCGCGCGGGGGTGGAGATGGGTGTGCGGCGGCGAGGGTGCTGTGTGCGGGGTGAAGCCAGGTGTGCGCCTCCCCGTAGCGGACCGGGGTGGGGTGGGGGGGGCGGGGAGGGGACACTAGGAGTGACTTCATCGGGGCTAGGGGCGGAGAAGAAGCAGAAGGGACCCTGTAATGGGAAGAAGACCGGGTGCCAGGGTTTAGGCAGAGTGGAGGAGGCGGCGCTCCCTCAGTTTCTTGATCTTAAAGTGGGGGACTGTCCTTGTGTGGGGTGGGGCTTTGCGGGCTCCCATCCCTGCGGGAAGCGTTCCTCCACCCACTTACCATCCGTCAAGCGGAAGACCCCCAAGAGCAGGAGGTCGGCCAACGTAGGGGACTCAGGACACCACTGGGCCCTCTGCCCCTCGGGGGAGCTGACCCATACCGCGACCCCGCTTTCC